CGGCTCTGCTGGGGTCGTTGGAGAGCTCCGGGGCGGGGGCGTGATTGAGGCCGGGAGCAAGCCCCCTCCTCGAGCTGCCGCTCGTTACTGCGGTCGCCTCACGGCCTCGGGGCGCCGCCGTCTCCCGGGCTCGGCCCCCTCCGAGCGCCTCTGCGAGGGTTCGCGCGGCCGCGGCGTGCGCCTGGCAGCGTTTGACTCAGCGCGATCCGCTTTGAGTCATCGTGCCGCGGCCATTGACTACCGCCGAGAGCCGCTGGCCACGCCTAGAGGGTGCTCATGTTTGCTTAGTTCAGTTTCCTCCCAGAGGGATCGTCTCGTTTCTGTGGGTATGTGCAGGGTTTAGGGGACACCCGGACTGCAGCCGCAGAGGTTCGAGAAGTAGTGTCTGCGGAGTAGGGGGCGCGGTGTCATTCGGCCGTGGGAAGCGGCTTGACTTAGTTTTAACAGATTGGGGAAGGTTTACATCTAGTGTTACTGTATGCCGTTGTTTGCTTTCCTGCTTCACATGCCCAGAACAACTTCTTCGGGGTTAACCTCCTCAACTCTGGCTTCCAGATGTATCCTGACTTTCTGTCCTTGTCTTGGGAGACTTCCTTTTTGGAGGAAACTGGAAGGAGCTGATTTCCAGTGCTTGCCTTTCCAGTGTCTTTTTCCCTGTTCATACTCAGAACACTTAAAACTACTGCATGTATAAGAATTCAGTTTGCAGTTTAAAAATGTATGCACGGTGCGCTGCTGACCATGGGCATGTCTGTTTTTGGTATTTGTAATGTGTATGTCCATTTCAGTGTTGTCTGTTTTAGTATGCAGGTGATAGACTAGAGAGCAAGACCTCTGTCTCCGTAGCATCTTGGGTATGTGAGTGTTCTATGAGTATTACCATAATAATGAGTTTTGTTTTAAACTTAACGTTTGCTTTTTAAAAAATTCCTTAGTGATTGCATATTACTTTAAATAACTAAGGGATGGGGAATAGGATAAAGACTGATTTCAAGAGAAATTCTTTCAGAATAATCCTGTTTGTGGAGTCTAACCTTTCTTTTTTCAACTTTAAACAGAGCAGTCTGAGTGCCAGAATGGATAACCGTTTTGCTACAGCGTTTGTAATTGCTTGTGTGCTTAGCCTGATTTCCACCATCTACATGGCGGCCTCAATTGGTACAGACTTCTGGTATGAGTATCGAAGTCCAGTTCAAGAAAATTTAAGTGATTTGAATAAGAGCATCTGGGAAGAATTCAATACCGATGAAGCAAATGAAAAGACTTACATTGATGCACTTTTCCGATATAATGGCACAGTGGGATTGTGGAGATGGTGTATCAGCATGCCCAAAAACACACATTGGTATACGACCTTAGAAAGGACAGGTATTCCTCTATTTCAAATTTTCTCTTTAACTATTCAATGATAAGCAAATTGCCCTGATTATTGTCCAGTTATGTATAAGCAGATTTGTGAATTCTCTCCCTCCCCAAGAAATAAATCTTAGGTATCTTTTCCTGTAATCTTCTCTGCTTAGCTTCTGGGCATTACCATAGTATTAATGAATATTGATTGGATAAGTAACTTAGGAAAGCCATTTTACATCTCTGTACTTACATATTCACTTATTAAAATGCCTTTTACTCTCGTATGTGTCGTGCGGGAATAGTTGGAACAGTACGTGAGAAGACTTTAAATATTAATTGTTAAAAGAACTGATATCAAATCAATAAATGTGAACTGATTATCCTTTATAGCAGTGTTGCAGTAAATATTTCACCTGTCCTTATATCTTAGGATTTATAATTTGAATGACTGCATTTAAATCTATATATGAGATGTGATCAAAATGTGAATGTTTAAATTTTTTAAAAATGTATTATAATAAAAGATATATAATTGCCATGAAAATACTGTCCCTCTTTGAACACACTTATCCCATTGTCCTTCCCACTTTCTGAAGCAGGTGTGGAAGTCCTCTTTCCTGAGTGTCTTTAGTTGCACTGTTCTAACCACCTCAAAGTCCTGAATGTTCAAAACATTTACTCTTCATGGTCATTTTGACTTCAGGAAAGAGCTGGAAGTCGAAGGGTGCCATATCTTGTGAGTAAGGTAGATGAGAACACATGGTAATGTTTTTATAAGCCTGCATTTCTGTTGGATGGCAGGAGCATTTACTGTGTTTTTGATCACATCTCTTAAAGATACTCAGGATAGAGGACTTCCGAGTCCTCAGGAACTCTTGCAGAAAGTGGCAAAGGCAATGGAATAAGTGTGTCCAAAGTGAGGGGGAATATTTTGAGGGGAATAATGGCAATGTATATTTTATTGTAATTTCAAATATTTGACATATATTGTGATCATCTCTTGCATCTGAACCAGTTTAACATCAATTTTGATGTAGTTTATAGGTTAAAAATTTGTATTACAGAAGAAAAGTCTTAGCTGTTCCTCAGATTTATTTTGCAAGCATTCTTATTTAACACTTACGAAGATTTTAATTAACAGTTACTAAATTGGAATCCTTAGTGCCCATTGTAAGGGAGAAATTCTCAGTTTATTTTTATTTATGATTATTTCTGTTGGGCTCTTGGTGGGGAATCATTGTATTCAAATATTAGTAGAACAAGTTTGAGTTACCATACATCAAAAGGATGATAGTATGTTATTATATATGAAAAAGGAAGTATGCAAGGAAAAGAAAGTTGGTTAAAATTCATTGTGAAATGTTCAGTTCTAATTATGAGGGTACAAGAGCAGTTGATATTAGAATTTACAAATTATGTAATCATTTAACATAATTATTTCATGCTTCAGTATCCCAAGGGCCTTGTAATTTTTATTCTTGAGATACATTCTAATAAGTGGTGACAGGCAGTAAACATAAGTAAATACAACTATATAAACAATAAACAAGTACATAGTATGTTAAAAGATGATGTGCTATTGAAAATAAGAGCAAAAATAAAGATTTACAAATACAAGGGAAGGAAATAGTGGTGGGTGTAGGTTAGGATTTTCAGTAGCGTAGTCAAGATAGGCTTCATTGAGAAGACACTACTTCAGTGCAGATTTGATGTGGGTAGACTATATGAAGGAAGGTAGCTACTGGGTTGAACTAAAGGGAGAGAGGAGAGAATTGGTAGTTTATTGTTAGAGATGTGTAGGACTTTAGGCATCATGAGGACCCTGGTTTTTACTGTGACTATAATGGAGAGCCATTTAGGGGTGTTTGAGTAGTAGAGAGGCATTTTCTGATCATCCTGGATATGGTAAGAACGGACAGGCAGCAGGCAAGCATGGAAGGTAGGAAATAGGTTGCGAGGTCATTGCAGTGATTCAGGTGAGAGATAATTATAAATCAGATCAGTGTAGTAGCACGGAGCAGCAGCTGGATCCTTCATACTTGATGGAAGAACCTTGAGGATTTCTTGTTGGAATCAATCTGGGCAGGAATGGCTCTAGAGTTTCTATTTTGAGGAGTTGAAAGTAGAACTGCTGTTTGAATTGAGGACCATAGCTAGTAGAACAAGTTTGGGGGAAAAGATCAAAGTTTTTATTTCAATCTTTATCCCCTGCTCTTTCTCAGTCTTCTTATTTATCTATTCTGTCACCTATTTTGTTGCTCCAATTTTTTTTTTTTCCTTCCTAGTGCCTGTATCTTCAGCCTTCTGCTGAGAACCACTGGCATGCATTGGACATCAGAGAGATCTGTGTGTCACTCAGGGTCAAAGAAATTGCTTATTCCCTTGAACACTTTTCTCCATCATTCTTCCTTTTGGAGGATAATTACTGAAAGAATATTGTGAAATGTTTATAATGAGAACAATAAGCAGTCATTGTTCTTGTTCCAGAGTCATTTGATGTTGTCACAAAATGTATGAGTTTCACACTAAATGAGCAGTTCATGGAGAAATTTGTTGAGCCTGGAAACCAGAATAGTGGAATTGATCTACTTCGGACCTGTGAGTACTTTGATCTCTGTAGGACAACTGGGGAAAAAAGAAATAATTTTACTTGTGGATGGCTGTATTCTAATTTTTGAACATGATATGTTAGTAGATCACGTCAAATTTGTTCTCTGTTTAGGTATTTGAGGTCTGTTCTTATTGATAGTATATTTTAGGAAGTAAAAGTGTACTTCCAGATTTCAAATAGTTTTAAGTTGAGGGAGGCAGTTAATACATTGACTGATGGAATCCAGACCTCCACAAGACATTGTTGATGGGCCCAATTAACTAAGAGGAAATTGAGTAAGGATAAATAATAAAGTCGTATTGGTGAGGCTCAGATAAGCATGTGTGAAAATATTGCAAGCTCTTACTGAGTTACTGAGTATCAGGCCCGTTCGTCCAAAGTTAGATGGTAGTCACAAAAATGAAATAGAGATGTCAAGAAAAGTATTACGAATACTTTTTTCCCTGGTGGCAAGGCTACACAGGAATTACTGTCTTCAGATTAGAGTCTCAGTTTTTAGGGCCATAGAGACTTATTGGAGCTTGCCTGGAAGAATAACCATATTATAGACAAACAAATAAACCCTTCAATGAAAATGGGTAGAAAGAAGTTATTAGCAGAGTTTGAAAGGAGCTGAGAAAAAAGACATTTTTAAAATTAAGTTTATTGGTACAGAAGTTGCAGAAAATGCCATCACCAAAAGGTAGAGTTTGGTTGAAGTTGATACTAATATATTACTAATAATTAAAATTATCTGAAAACATAATGAAGCGCTTTTTGAGGCCATCAACTTTCTTAGGTTGGTAAGAGCACTTTTGATAATTAGAAGTTTTCTTGACTACCTGGTTATATATCAGACTCACTACATTGTGCCTTATGCAATTTCTTTCAACAGACTGGTAAGACAGGTCATTCATAATCACTCTTTACTTGTTTATACTCCCTTTAGATTCTGAAAATCCAAGGAATTGTTTATGTCTTGTGGTAAACTATTTGTTGCCTCTGATTCCAGCTCTCCCACTTACTTTCTTTGTATAAGTTATTTTTGCTTCTTGTCTCAGTTTCTTCAATTATAAAATAAAAATAGTACTCAATAGTAAGAGTTGTTAGAAGAATTAATTCACAGAGCATGTATGTGTAAAACAAGCAGTACATGGCACATTGTAAGACTTTGGTAACTGTTTCCTGTTAGTGGCTTTTGCTTTTTTTCAAAGCAGAGCATCCTTTTGAACAATCTAATTTATTAAAGAAGCCTCATTATTAAAATATTTCTCACTTTTTGAGAGGGGATCTAATTACAATATAAAAGAAATTGCCAGTATGGAAAAATGGTCAAAAATCATGGTAACATGTCTGTTCTTTCTTTCTCTTTGAAATCAGATCTTTGGCGTTGCCAGATCCTTTTACCTTTTGTTAGTCTAGGTTTGATGTGCTTTGGGGCTTTAATTGGACTTTGTGCTTGTATCTGCCGAAGCTTATATCCCACCATTGCCACAGGCATTCTCCACCTCCTTGCTGGTGAGTCTTGTACCATGCTTAACTTTTAACTTCCTCCTGTCTCCTTAGGGACCACAAATTACAATTCATAAAGATTCACATATTACCGTAATGTCATGTTGCCTGAAAAGCTCTCTATTGTGCTTTTATAGAGTCATGTTTTGTTTTATTTTCTAAATTTCCCCTGAAGGTCTGTCTACACTGGGCGCAGTAAGTTGTTATGTTGCTGGAATTGAACTGCTCCACCAGAACCTAAAGCTACCTGAGAATGTATCCGGTGAATTTGGATGGTCCTTCTGCCTAGCTTGCGTCTCAGCTCCCTTACAGTTCATGGCTTCTGCTCTCTTTATCTGGGCTGCTCACACCAATCGGAAAGAGTACACCTTAATGAAGGCATATCGCGTGGCATGAGTAGGAAACTCCTGTTTTACCATTGCTACTTTTAATATTTTTGATATTCATACTTACCCTTGCCTCCCATTGTTTTTAATTTTTATTTTTTGTGGATATATCATTTTATTCTGAAAATCCATTTTATTTATACACCCTACTCTAAATGCACACTTAATAACACTAAAATTTATGTGGTTTACTCTGAGTGATTTCATCTTTCAAATAAACCAGTCAGCATCAACGTCTAGACAGAAAGAAATGGGTAAAGAGTTGACACAAATTTATGAAAGAGAATTGAAAGTGAAAAATTGACCCAGAACAGGTTCTGCTGATGTCTGTTTTAGACTTTCTAGTAAAGGTAACTCCATCTGTTAAACTAGAAACTTTAATTTCTTTGGGAAACCTCTTATGAATGTCAAAACATCCATACTTTTCTTTTGTAGCCAGTCAGCCAGTGGTCTTAATGCTACTTTCAAAGGCTTAAAGCTCCATAAAATTGGGAAATTATGTGTGATCTTTTTCCCTAAACTTCGGCACATACCTTCATCTGAGGTGAAATATGGCAGCTGTTTATATCTCTAATGTGTCTCTCTACAAGGAAAGAAGTGAAAAGATGGCAGTGTTTACTTGGAAGTTTAATTTTATAATTGCAGAAGTTCCAGTTTAGCCAGATAAATGAGTTGATCTTACTATTTTAGTTTTAAAATGTCATTAGGATTTTCAGTACCACCAAACCATTTTGAATTTTTGTTCCTTTTTACATACCAGGTTTATTAAAAGAGTGCTTTCTTTTTAACAGTACATTAGGATCACAAAATAAAATTCCCCAACAGTTTTCTGTTTATTCTAATTAAGTATCACAAAGTTCTACCATAATTACCCTCCAGAGCTGGGAATACTACCACAAGGTCTAAAGCTGTGGCTGTCCATTAACCTCCAGCTATGGTCTTTATTTCTTGTGGTGAAATGATGTGCCTTTCCTTGCCTAAATCCCTTCCCTGGTGTATCAGCATTATATAATGTCATCTAATTCAATCATTTTTTATAACTGTCTATAAACATTGAAGTTTTAAAAATCTTATTTATTTATTCCATACTGTAGCACTTGACAGATTAAAAAAAAAAAGGAACAGTAATTTCTTACCATATCCTAAATCTGTCTTTTTTATAAAATAAAAATGAGAAGAGACTCAAAGATTGTGTATGGTGTGTGAATTGATTCAAATCTCAATGAATTAAAATAATGGGGATATCTGTGGTTCTTTATGGAAAATGCATTACTACTCTGCAAGCCTGTTTTTATGTCCTGGGTTTGGATTTGTTTTATCTTCCCGGAAATGTGGCAACCCTTTATCACTGTTAGAGAAGAGATTCTTTTGTATGTTTCCAAATTTTAAAACAGGATTTCAAACTAGTTTTGTGATCTGTATACTATCCTTAATATGGCTTTTGTCTTATACTCATTTAATGGTCATGGATGTTTGTTTAATAGTAAAGAAAGAAATCAAATTCTGACTTGTAACAGCCAGTATTGCTATGTACCCAGTTGCCTGTGAATTGGCTGATTAATTAGATGTCTACCCTTCTGCCCCTGGCTTTTTAAAGCAATACTGGGGATTGAACATACAGAGTGCTAAAATACATCCTCAGCCCTTCTTAAAATATTTGATTTTGAGAAAGGGTCCTGCTGAGTTACTTAGGCTATCCTCAAATATGCCACCTCCCTCAGCCTCTTCCAGTATGTAGGATTAAAGGTGTGCACCATTGAACCTGGCAGATTTCTACCTAAACTCTTGAAGTTTCATAGACTGACAGTACCTCTGGAAGGTGAATAGGAGAAAAAGCTAAGTGAACAAATAAGAACATTTAAGAGTGGGATTTAAAAATTATTGGCAGTGTGACATACTTGTATTAGGAAGTTATTTTAAACACTGTTCCTACCTTTTACCCCTAGGGTTATCTGCATGAGTGCCTGTAAACCAGGCCTTAGTATAAACTGGAAGGCAGAATTGGACTTCAGGTTTAGAAAGCTAGCACTATAATCCCTACTGCTGAATAAGTGTTGTAACTAGTATTTTTAGCTCAATGCAAAGTGTCTGAGGTCACCTCCTGAAAAGACTTGTCTGTAATAGTACATAGGGCCATTTGTTTAATGTAAAAACAGTTTTTCTAAGGTTGAACCATATGAAATTGCTCATAGACAATCATTTTGATTATTCAGACCTAAAGTCAGTGGAAAGGTAAATCATCTTAGTGTCCATTGAATCGTTGAAACCAACCCCCAAAGTTAAAAATTAAATCCAGATCTTCTTGAGGACGTAAGTTATGACAACTGAAAAAGTCTGTTTTAAGACATTGATTTAGCAAAAGACTCAAATGTTTAGATATTTGATAGATATACCCATAGATATACCCATAGTTGGTGTAATAAAAAAGTCAGAACAATTCTAGAATTTATTGGGATAGCCAAGTGTGCCTACTGTATGTCAATGCATGAGAGTAATGTGTTAAAAAATAACACTTAAGTTTTAATGTGTATATTAGGAGGGAGGATAGAGTTAATAACTCAGATGAACTCATTTAGTAGCATGATTGAGAAGAGATGATAATACAGCAAACCTTTTTAGAGTTGTTTTTTCATTCCAGAAAGAAAGCACCAAATTGCAGACTTAAAATGATTAAAATTTGTAGATCTGGTCATATTCATTTGACTGTAAGATATATAGTATGAGGGAATTTTAATGTTTAATCCTTATGTAAGCTATCACCTAAAGTAAAAATGCTGAATTAACTCAATTTAGCTAATTGAGCATTTACTAAAGTTTCCAACTAACGGGTACAGCCCTGAGTAGTTCATAGGCTAGGTGTGCCTTACGGGGAGACATGAATGGAGTCTTTCGTCTTCCTTTTAGCTCTCTTCTCACAGAATGGTAACTAGTACCTTGAAAATCTGTTCCTCAGATGTTCTGACATTTTGATGAGATGTGTTTTTTTCTTAGGGTCAAATTATATATAAATGCCAGTATCCTGTGAATAAGTTTTGTAACAATCCTAGTTTGCAAACTGAATGAGAATGGTTACTTGGTCAATAGAAATTACTATTGGCAAAATCAGTACATTATTTGATATATAAATATGTACACACTTTCAGCAAACTTAGGAAAAGTGCAGTCCAATTTATATTTATCTTTGCAAAGGTTTGGAAATGTACAATAAAGAGAGACTCTCCTTTCTGTTTTGTCTTCATCTTTCAAAATATCTGTGTCACTAAGTCATGCATGCATCACCTTTTATCTACTATATTGGTGTTGTGTCTCAGAGTGTGAACTTTACTTAGCCTCCTGCAACATTTTAGTCCCTCCCAGGCTATCAGCTTTCTCTTGTCATTTTTCTTTACTTAAGCTTGTCTTACCATTATATGTACACAGATAACTTTGATGTTGTGGCTCCTATATCTCCTGTAGTGCTTTCTCTCACAATCCTCTGCCTTATTTTTATAGACACTGCTGTGTAGTTTTCTATTCCCAGTCTCCAAATACTGAATATCTTTCAAATCTAAAAGCTCATTCTATAAAAAAAGTGTTATTTGCTCTTAACTACTTCACACATCTAATACCTGATGATGTGCTATCACACTTTCTAAGTTTCTATAAAAAGTTTTGAGAAGCTTATTGCAGTGAACTGTTGTACTGTCTACAGCCCTTATCTACTTGTAATGAATTATCTGATTGGAGTGACTGCTGGTATCAGCAATTACTGGAGCAGCATGATGGGTGGTAGTATCCAGCTTAGAAAACAATGTTAAATTCTAATCTAGGTCTGGTTCAGCCTTTCCAAGCACCCCCTGTCACCTGTAAAATGTGTCTCATGGAGTTAAAATATTCTGTAAATTTCTCAGCATAAAGTAGCTACTCAAAAAACTCTAGTTACCACCAGTTGCATTGCAAAGGGATGGGATTAGCAAACCTCTGAAGTGGTTCTCAGTGTAGATTGTACAATTTCCTGGACAACTTTAAAAATTATACCCAGAAGAAGAATAGCTGGGTCAAATTGGGCCTCTAATCGTAGTGTTTTGGAGAAATCTCCGCACTGGTTTCCACGGTGGTTGCACCAGTCTATACTTCCACCCAACGGTGGAGAAGGCTTCCTTTTTTCCCACAGCTGTGCCAGTATTTGTTTTGGGTGACTTCTTTATAATAGCCTTTTTTTTTTTTTTTTAATTTTAAAGAGTAAAAGAAGGATAACATAATAGGGGGGCTTACCAAATTACAGACAAAGTGATAGGAAATTATCAATGGTTATTGTTTTAGATATTGTTATCTACAAGATAGTTTCTGAGGAAAACAAATAGACAATAGTGAGTTACAGACAAAAGAGGTAAGAGATTATTAATAGTTGTACTATACTTTGGTATCTTCAAAGTGGCTTCTAAAGGAAATAAATAGAGCTATACATGAGTGACCTATTGAATAATCATTAACTATTCTCAATGGTTGTAGGAAACACATAATAATAAACATGCATCCATTTATGAAATAGGAACAATATAAACATTACAGAGTTATGGATAGATTAGTAGGAAAATATCAGTGGGTGCTGTAATACATGGTGGTATCTTCAAAGTGGTTTCTCAGACAGATACACAAGAAGGATCTAAGTAGTTACAGCTTAAGGGTTGTCAAAAATAGCATATTACCTCCTCACCAGTGACTCCTGTCACTGAGGTGTGATGGCTCGAAAGGCCAGGATTGAAAAGAAGGACCGAGAGACTTGCACCTGTGTCTAGCAACAGGCTGTTTTCTTGTTCCTCCATAGTCATGATTACCCAGGGCTCTTCCATGGAGATGACGGTCTGGCCAGAGGGAGAAGGCAGAGTATGCCCGGGGCCCCCTCATTCTGTTGGACTAACTGGTAGAATGGGTCTGAGCTCTGGGGCCTCCGCTTCAGAGGGCAGACTGATTTCCAGTAGTCACTTTTGCATTCAGGGCATGGCCCAAGGGGCCTCTTAGGATAGTTCCTCTTGAGGTGGCCTAGCTTTTAACAGTGGTAGCAGATGAATGCAGTCATTGAGTTCTTCTTGGGGCCCTTCGAATCAGACTTGGGATCTGTTTCTCCTAGTGCTGCAGCAAAAGCAGCTGCTTTTTCTCGGTCTCTGTTTTCTCTCCTTTGCCGCCTCCTCGTCATGGCTATAGAATACTGAGGAGGCAATTTTTACTAACATGTAAAGTGAGCCATCTGAGGCAAAAGCCATTCTTTGTAGCTTTTTCTCTCCAGCCCCCCATTGCATTGGGACCCCACAACCAGTTAGTGTCCTCTCCCCAACTGTCAGCACAGGCAGCAGGAATCTTGCTGCAGACTTCTGCGGAGCTCCACCACAGCCTGTACTGTCAGGGGAAGAATGGCTTCCAGGGAGTCTCTGCAGGTATTGTGCAAGGTCCTCCTGGTTTACAGCTTTCGAGCAGCTCTCATGACCACAATCCACAGGACCTCTGACTCCTCGGGCTTAGTCTGTGTTCTCCGAGTCCTTGTCCAGCAGCTGCTCTTCCACTGACTCTGGACATTTCTGGTTCTCAATGGCAGGAGCAAGAGTGACCTGTTGCATGGCATGTATTCCCAGGGGTTTCTCCATGTTTGAATGATTCACTCATGTCTGTGGATGGGCATCTGCAGCCGGTGCATGGTGGGCCAATTGTGTCATTGTTTCTCTGTGTCATGGTAGTTCTCAATTGAGTGGCGGTGGCCGGCCTGAGGGCCGGTGCACAACAGCGCTCCCCACCGCGTGGCTTCCCATGCGCCGGAGCTCCTCCTCCCGGGTGCTTGCTAGGCTGGGGGCCAGCCCGAGGGCCAGCGCTCCCTGCCCCACGGCTTCCCGGGCACCGGGGGCCCTCCTTCCGGGCGCCTACGAGACAGGGAGCCGACCAGAAGACTGGCGCTCCCCACCGCGTGAATAGCCGTTATTTTTGGAGTGAGATGGAATCTCTGTTCAAGTTGTGAAGGTGGCAGGGAATTTCAAGGAACCATGCTAACTCCTGAGTTTGGGTGAGTGTTCATGACCACTTAGCAAAATGCAAAATCCAAGTTGCAGTTTTCTTGCCTTGGATTCAAAGATATGAAAGATGAAAAGTTACCTTAAAATTTTTGGAGTTCAAACATTTGGGGCTGAAACCCCCTCCTGAACTTATTTGGAGGTAACTG